CTGTTCAGCAGCAAAATCAGAAATCAGTGGAAAATTTGTCCTGAATTGCTAACTTATATATGTGTATGATATTACATTCTATTGTTCTGACAGTAAACCACCACCAGAATACTGTTGGGCCTACTCAGATCAGCGCTTTGGTTAAATACGAACTACAAAGCAAGTGCATTATAATGCTTACAACACCATTTATTTTTCACAATGAAGCTGGTCCTAGTGGGATCTCAAAGACACGAGCTTGCATCTGGATTTTAGAATTAGAGAGGAGCTCTGCTTCAGCTGATAGTTGGCATGCTGCAATTATCATGTTATTTTCAATCTTCACAGCTAATTAAATGTTTATTGAAAGACTGCATGCTCTGGGAACAGAAATGTGACAAGAGAAGTGTAAGGACAAGATTTTAGTAGAAAAAAAATATCTTTATCATTAGTATATTATCTTTGGTATCCTTTAGTAAAAAAAACATATTGTCCTCAAACTGTGCTTTCTTTAGACTTTTCTATTTGATACTCTGCATCCTTAACATAGCACTCTAGAAAAGACTTCATGAATTATAGCTGATAAACCTTGGCTTTTTATAACCTTGTCAAAGAACTATTGGAAGTTTTGTTGTTGCAGAGTGGGGAGAAAGAGTTTGTGCATATGTGGCCAACCTGAGAGTATAATGGAGGAATTGTGCAGTTTTTAAAATGAGTAATATATTCCTATGGCAGATTCTATTTAGTAAATGAAAAATAATAGATAAATAAAAAAGAAATGTTCTGGATTTTTGAATGATTACTTATTTATCAGACAGGCTCATGAGTGATTTTTACCTCACTCAAATGAAAGACTAAGAATTTGCCAAATTCATGGCAACCTGTGATAAACTCTGCCTCAGTATTTCAGATGTACTGTGTTCCAAATGTCCCATTAATATTGCTTTGGTTACAGATGGTTGCATAGACATCTTCGTGCCTCCACAAGAATACATCACCAGAAAAATAAACCTTCCTGTGCATGCATCTGTATGACTCATCTGAGTAAACCTTAAAAAAACTAGAGAAAAATGATGGCTGAATGTTATCAACACAAAATTTGTGACTTTAACATAATTTCTATTTTCTGTAAGTTTGAAAATTGTGCTCATATTAAATATGAGAAAATCGGCTTTAACTGAAAATTATACAAAATGAAAAATCAACCTCCTTACTTCCACAAGATATTTTTCAGGTTCCAGGAAATTTCAAGAAACCAAAGATTATGATGTTTTGATATAGTCTAGCCTTTAAACTTTTAGCAGCTCCTTTAATGCTCGAACTTCTAGAACTTTCATTTTTTAAGTTTTCTCTGTAACACAGGTTATCTACTTCTTCCCTTCTGTAGGGAAAATTAAATTCTTACGTACAACAGGGAGAGGTTTTATAATGTTTTTCTGAACAAGATAATTGACTGAGTGTACTCACTTACCTGTAAAATTACCTGAGTTAAATGACTTAAATCTTTGCTGGAGAGCATTCCTCTGAGAAAAGTGAAAAGCAGAGCATGTTGGTGCTTCTGTTGCTCTGAAGAGAAATGAAGAGCTATCCACCTATCTTGGGGAGCGATGACAAGACATGTTTTTAACAAGTGGAAGCCAGGGAGTCAAGTGAGAACACCTTGGCTATTAATTTTTACAGTAAATGAGAACAGACAAATTAAGATTCTTTGGGAAAACAAGGCAGGCAACTTTGCTCAGTGAGTCCAGGTTAAGATATGCCTTGGTCCTGTAAACAGCAGGACTTTGTAGAGTATATTTCAGTTAACCAATAACATTGCTCTTTTTTTTTTAAATAAGGTTTCATGATTCAACGTAATTGTTTTTGATCACATTATTTCTTCAGAAACTAGGAGTATTAGCACAGTTGATTCTATGGTCTCTGGAGAATTTGGACAAAATCACAGTTACTGAAGGCATAGTATCCTACAGGAAGAAACCAAGGGGGCTTGCTCTGACACTGAAGTTATGCTGGGAAGTGTTTCAAAGAGCTGGAAATGTGTCTTCAACCTGACCACACAGAAAAGAGAGGTTGTGCTCTGAGTGCAACAGAGGAGCAAATGACTTTCAGCAGCAGAGTTTTTACTGAACTGAGGATCAAGTCTCTGAGTTTTGCATTTCAGTTGTGGTTTCAGTGTGTCATTTTCGATTGTTATAAGAATGTGATCTTGGTCATGATATAGAGAGCAAGTTAATCTCATTTTATTAAACTTAGCAACAGCAATATCTTCGAGCATGGTATCAGACCATCTCTATTTAGGATTATGTTTTTTTTGACATGGATTCTGAGTGATCAGGAAGGCATTAGGCTTGTGTATTTGTGACAACTTTAGAAACTGACTATATTTCTATACAGGAAAGAAAATCTAAAAAAGGAACAAATTTATTTGAACAGCAGCAGTGGAAAAACAACGAAATCATGGTATGTTATCTATGGATTAATAAAGTAGTAGAGAAAGCAAGAACAGACCAAAGCACCTGTGATTGCTATGTTCATCGCAGTTCATTAAGAACGGTCTCAAACAGTTTGAACATGCAGTTTCATAGAGCAGATATTTTTATTTTTAATCATAGGTATTTAATGCAGACTTAAAGTACATTAAAACAACAAAAGAGCCTAAAGAAGCAATGTTATCTTATACCTGCAAAACCACCTATGTATAGTTAGTCTTTACATTCTTCCTCTTGAAAAAGATATTTCTTTTTTCCTTCACTCTTCCTTTTTTATTCAGCACTAACATTTGTAAATACTTACACATATTTATTTATATGAGTGCAATGAACTTCTCAAATGTTGAAAAGTAAAAATTTTCAGTGAATGGACTGTCTTTAGTATTTCTTATTCAGAAAGGTAACATGGAGTCCCTTCTTGTTTCCCACCTACACAAATATTGAATGAGAACAAAAACAAATTCAAGTAATAACAACCATTTTGTCTGGCATGTAAAAAAATGGTAAGTCCTAATTCACTTTATAATAGTAACTACTATGACTCATGATGGTATTGTGAATTTGGATACTCTCAAACCAGACATAAACATTAGTCTGTTAAAAGCAAATAAATAGGTTGGGGTGTTTTTTTAGAAATAAAATATACATAATGCATAATGGAAAAGCCTTTCTTGCTGTAATCAGGCTGTTGCATTTTTCTTGTGGCACTGGTTGATAAAATCTGAGTTTCAAGTATGGTAAGAAAAACAATAAATATTTTTGTCCTGTAATATTCTGCTAAAATGAATTTCCTTAATTATGCAGTTACAATTTACTTATTTTGACAGACTATTTACTTATTTTGAAGTTAAGAAAGAGTTGAACGTTTTAACCCTCTTCTTCATTAGTAATTATATCCTCTCATCTAGGAATAGATCTTATTTTCTATACATCTTATTGTTCTATTTTAAGTCCTTTCTTGGATGTAAATTCATGGTTTAAGTTGTTTTATTTATTTATTTATTATTTTCTTCCGATAAGCCTGAGTTACTTCTTCAAAGTTTTTTTTTCCCTTTTTTTTTTTCCTGTGTTTTCAGAATCTTTAAATTTAGAAAACTCAAGATTTCCTAATATGACCCTATTGATCTCTTACTAGGATTCTTGTCTTTTTCCTGATTTGGAACAATTTGCCAATGTTGAATTAATATGGTTCCTTTAAATATCTGCCAGGTCTGCTTTACCCCTCAGAATAGTCTTCCACATCCCTAACAATGAGTTTTCTCAGGTCTTCGAGATCTGCTTTTTCTGAAATCCAGTGTCTTCATTTTGCTGTCACTCCTTTCTATCCTTAAAATTAGAAACACTACTGAAAATAATTTTTACTTTTATTCTAGCATTTTTAATCAAAATTTAATTAAAATAGTTCATCTTTTGATAATTTTCTACAGCTTATGATAATGCTGATCCCAAGATTTTCCAAAAAACTTCTGGAGTTTTCTGAACCTTGGCTAACAGATGTTCAATAATTCAAGATTCCTATTATTACCAGGTCCTACTTTGTGAATAATTCTTGTAGTGGTTCAGAAAAAAACCCAAACACATTATTCACCTCTTTCCTGAGTAGACATTTCTTTAACAGAACTTAACATGATCTCCTCCTCCTTACCTTCACAGTGAGAGAGCATTCTTTTATTCCGAAAAGTGTTACTCTTTTAATAATGTATTTAGTAAAGTGCTGCAGAACATCTGACTACTTTATCTTTCTCTTCCATATCTACATTTCTGTCATGGTTTGAGGTGGCTAGGGTTTTTTTTCGGGGAGTGGGAGGCTACCTAGGGTGGCTTTGGTTAGAAGCTGCTACAAGTTTCCCCCCCAGTGAAGCCAATGATAGCTGGCTACAGGAGGAACTTCCTGCTGCTTCCCAAGGGAGAGCCAATAATTTTGCCTCTCTGATAACATATTTAAGAACAAGTTTGTTGCGCAGAATAATTTTTTTGAGCCAGGGGAGAGCTGGCCGAAGCTTCTGGGCGGCCCTGCCACCTCCCCTGCCGCTGAGGGAGGGAGCGGAGAGGAAAATCCACGCCAGAGCAGGTTATTTCTGGGTAGGACTCATGGCCCTGTGCAGCTGCAGCTGCACATCAGTGCAGCTCACCCTACGGAGGACTGCATCCTATGAAGGATGAAGTGACCCTCAGGACAGTAGATATGGAAGAACTACTGCCTGAGGAGTGGACCCACGATGGAGAGGTCCGTCAAGGACTGTTACTCGTAGGAGGGACCCCACGGAGCAGGTGAAGGACTCAGAGTTATTATTACAGGGCCCCCCCTGTAATCCATGGTGAGGACCATGGTGGAGCAGGCTGTCCCCCTGTAGCCCATGGAAGAGTGACCTATGGGACAGCAGATTTGGAAGATCTGTTGTCCAAGGGAGTGGACTTGTCTCCCTTCCCCGCTGCAGGAGGAGGAGGGAGAACATGGAAGGAAGGAGGGGTGGGTGGAAAGTGTGTTTAAGACTGTTTTACTTCTCAGTCTTTAGATCTTATCCTGTTAGTATTAAATTTCAGTATTAACCCCACGCTGAGTTTTTGGTTTGCCTGTGTGACCTCTCCCAGCTCAGAGCGACTTTAGTGGGTGCCTAGAATCTGGCTAAGGTCAACCCATGACAATTTTTTGAGACATTTTTTAATTCTAATTCAGATTGCTCTTGTCATAAACATTTCTTGATCATTCTCATCTTATTCTCCAGTGATGATTAACAAAGCAGAACCTGTTGGCAGAAACAAAGGAGAATCAATTTAATAGTCTTCTTGAAATAAAAAAAAAATTCCTCTGCTTTCTTGGAATATTGTTGACTGGCTTTAGCTCCTGTAAATCAATCTTATGTATTCAATAAAAGCAACTTAAATTCTTCATATAACAAATAAAATTCTATGATTTCACACTCTGAAAAATCTGCACCATTACAAAACCCAGAAACCTAGTTTTCTCCACAGACATGAAAGATACTGTTTCTCCATATCATCCCCTCACAAATGAGTATTGTTATGACCATTAGCTTTGAATGCATTCATGGATAAATAAGGACTTTGAACTAATTTGACACAAAGCTGGCTTGGCAGGGTTTTGAGATTTAATTGAACTTTGTTTTAATTTACAATTAGTTTGTTTTGTTTACTTTCTGATGGCATTAGCAAACATATTAAAAAGGAGATACAAATAAAATTTGTGCCAATTACATATGAGAATAATTGGATTTTATTAATCCAAGAATTCATGCAATCAATTTATTTATTGGTACTCTTAGTTCAGATACCTCATTATTCCTCACACTAATTAATCACAACCACTAATGAGTAGTTTTGAAATAGGACTGTTTACTCATTTTCCCCAAATGGAAGGTTCCTTAAGCAACCATTGATATTTACTTTAGGGAAACAAACAAGTTTTCTAAATTAATTAATTAATACATTTTCAAAAAAATACGTGAGTCTGTAAGATAACAGCAGCTTTCTTGGTTCAAAATGAGAAATTTAAAGATTATTATTCCAGTACTGTCTGAGTTTGAGCAAATGACTTATATTTACCTTTTTCAATGTGGTTTTACTTGGCAAGGATAAATGCATATCAAAATGGAAGACTAACAAATGCTGTGAACAAACATAGGGTTATGCAGAAATCTTTACTGAATAACCATAATAGCTTTTGAAGGCTATCTTCCTTGTGTCTCTATACATTCAATCTGGAAGTACAACCCATTTTTTATGGTGTTATGTAGAGAAAACACATTAAATGTGAAAGTTAGCAAGTAGGGTACTACAGGGAATATGCCCCTCAGAGAGATGTAAGAGAAAATCCACTTGAAAAAAAGACGCTATTTCTGATGCAATAAAAGATTTGCAAATTCAAAAAGTGAATATGGGAAACACATTTGGATTTTAACTGATGAGACCAAAGGAAGGGGGAATAAAGTCAGGCTGATTAGAAAAAATAATTTCTGATGAACAAAACGGGACAATATTGAGGAGGTTGAAGAATAAGTAACAAAGAAAATTATGTCAAAAAAACCCCAAAACATCCCAAAACAACAAACCAAACCAAAACAAAACTGGAAAATAGAAAATAACAAAGACAAGGAAAATAATTTTAGTTGTAAGGCTGCAAGATTAAAAGCAACTCCCAAAGAACCTGAGGAAAAAAGCTCTCTGTAAGAGCATATTTCAGGAAAGGTAAAAATGACAGAAAGCTGAGCAGAGAAGAAAAAAAAAAAAAAGTCTGTGAAACAACAGTGTGAACAGCAAGGTCAGCAAAGGAGTGGGGAGGGGGAGGAGGTGCTCCAGGCAGAGTAGAGATTCTCTTGCAGCCTGTGAAAGAGCCCCCTGTGGAGTGGAGATGGTATTTTCCTGCAGACAAGTCCTCACTGAGCAGATATCCACACCCCAGCCCATGAAGGACACCACGCTGGAGCAGTAGGGTATTTCCTGAAGGAATTGTGACCAGTGGAAAGCAGCCCATGCTGGAGCAAGGGAAAAGTGTGGACAGGAAGGAGCTCAGGAAAGGCACTGCTCAGGGAAAGTGTGGAGGGAGTTAGAAGAATCAGGAGCGAAGGAGTGATGCTGAGCCTGGGAAAGGGGAAGATGAAGGTTTAATTTTGTCTTTGTCATTATCCAAATCCATTTTAACCGGCAGTAGATGAAATTAATTTTCCCCAAGATGAGTCTGTTTTGTCTGCAACAGGAATTGGTAAATGATCTCCCTCTCTTTATCTTAACCCACGTGCTCTTTCATCTTATTTTCTCTCTGTTTTCTGTTGAGGAGAAAGAGTGAGGGAAGGGCTGGATAGGCTGGGTTGACCTTGGCATCTGACCAAGGTCAACCCAGTGCACAATAATGAACGAAAAGAACAAAGTATATCGATATTTTCATTTCTGGACTGGACTCATTCTATTTTTTTTCCCCCTCTGTGGATAACTCAGTTAAAAAAAAAAAAGTATTGATAATGTTAGTTTAATTTGTACTTTTATAAATACCACAATTTTTCATTTTAAATTGCCTAAGATTGATGGTTTCAACTTTCATTAAAAAGTAAAAATATTAATTAAAAATTCTTAGTTAAAATTACTTTTGCTTAGTAAGATGCAATTTAAGGCCAAAAAGTAATTTACAAACAGCAGAAATTACAAAAGCTTTTTTTTCCTCAGTATTTATGTCTTATGGTAGAAATTATGATATCTAGTCAGCTGCCAATATCAGTAATAGGATATATTACAATTAGAGTGTTTTAATGCCTTTCTCTTTGGATTCTTTGATGTCTAATAACCGCTGAATTAATTCCCTGTTTTCCCAGTAGAAGTGGCACTACTACAAGGATCATTTCTATCCAGCAGTCACTTTTAAAAAAAATGTGTAGGAGCTTTGAAAAGCTATGTATATTTGACAAACATCTTTCAAATCAATCAGCAGACAGAAACTATGGTTTCTTTGCTCAAAAAGAAGACATTTGCTGAGGAAAAATAGTGAATGAACCAGCTGCCTGAAAACATATTTTATAAAAAAGACTTTGTCACAGCTAAAATTAGCACCCTTCCTAGTATAACTACAACACATCTGTTGACCAATGTTAATGAAAAACAAAATTCTAAGAAAAAGGACTTTCTTTAAAGTGCTTATGAAGCTTCCATCATTTTCACACTATTTTTGCTGCCCTGCAAAATAAATTAAGGAAAAAATATCCATATAGAAAAACATATTAGGTTATATTAGAGCTACACTTCAAAGCATAAAGAAAAAAATATACAAAAGTTTTCCAATTAAAACCAACCATTTTGAAAGTTTCTAAGTTAGACCTAAAAGGACAGATCTGCATCCAATGTCATTACCATTAAACCCACTAAAATTATTTTTTGAATTTATCTTTAAATGTAGGTGTGCTAATGAGAAAAAGGAGTTACTAGATTTCAATATAAAAATATTTTCAAATTTTTCTACTGTTTTTGCTCTTCTGTTTGCACATTGTCATGCAAAAATTAGATCTGGTGTTTATCATTACCTCTACAAAAGAAGCTAATTTGCTCATTTGTAGTCCTCAGAAACACAACATGCAACAAGTGTTTGTGCGATGGGTTCTCAATGCAATATTGGAGCAAGTCACTGATAACAGTTATTTGAGAGGTGCAAAGTATTTTAAAGCCTGATTTCAGCACACCTAATTCTGCTTACATAAAGGTCTGCATGGTTACTACTACTGGTAGTGATCTCACAAAACTCTAGTTTTGTAATAGTTTAAAAATTTAATCTCTTTAACTAAACTAATTCTGTATGACTCATTTAATAGTTTCATTAGGGTTACTGGTTTTACTGTTAATCTTCACTATCAGCCTACTCTCTATATATGTGCTGGTTTTTGCTGGGATAGAGTTTATTTTCTTCAGAGCAGCTGGTATGGCGCTGTGTTTGGATTTGTGCTGGAAACAGTGTTGATATCAGGGATGTTTTACATACTGCTGAGCAGCCTTTACATGATGTCAAGGCCTTTTCTGCTCCTCACCCCACCTCACCAATTAGGAGTCTGGGGGTGCACAAGAAGTTGTGAGGGGACACAGCCAGGACAGCTGACCCCAGCTGACAATGGAGATATTCCAAACCATATAATGTCATGCTCAGCCTATAAAGCTGGGGGAAGTAGAAGGAAGATGATCAGAATTATGGTGTTTGTCTTACCAAGTCGCTGTTATGTGTGATAGAGCCCGGCTTTCCTAGGGAGGCTGAGCACATGTCTGCCCACGGGAAGTGGTGAGCAAATTCCTTGGTTTTTTTGTTTCTATATGCAGCTTTTGCTTTACTCATTGAACTGTCTTTATCTCAACTCATGAGTTTTCTCACTTTTACTCTTTTGGTTCTCTCCCTCATCCCACTGGTGGGAAGTGACCAAGCAGTTGGGTGGGGCTTAGTTGCCAGCCAGAGTTTAATCATGACAATATAAAATAATTGGACTGTAATAAATTATTAAATCCTTCTAGTACTCACAGCAATAATAGGCATCTATAGGAAATTATTGTGTATAAAATTTCTTCACTGCATCTCTCTTTAACTAAATATCTATGGTTATATATGTAACATATTTGTATATATTCTAGTTATCAGAAATGTTTCAAATACTTAAAGGGTTTTTTCTTCCTTAATATATCAAACATGCTAATGTAAATTTTGTACTTTATATGACCCCTAAAACTATAAACTGGATTTTTTTTAATTTCAATTCAGTACAGTTATAGCAGAACTGAAGTTCTTTTCCACAGCAGACACTGTGAGCTAAAACTTGCCACCTCAGTTCACTTTTTCAGCTGGAAAATACATGACAAACACAATCATATCCCAGTAGTTCCCCATGGCAGTTCAGACTTTAATCATAATTCAAATGATATCTCACTAGAGAAAAAAAAAACAAAACCACAAAAAACAACCCCCAAACTTACAATGATAAAGAGAAAAAGATACTGTAGTCTACCACTTTTAGAAATCAAAAATGTTACTTTGTACTCCAGAAGGTAGAACTTGCCTCTGGGAAAGTCATTGCAGCACTTTTTAGATAAAAATCAACGTTAGAAAAAAAATATCAAATTTTACAATAGTCGGGGACTGTGAGCATGATAATGAACTTTAGCACCCAATTAGGTAGGGAATATCTAAGCTCTTCAAAGCTCCATTTATGTATAAACTAGATCAAAGTTCTCTGTCAACTGTCTTTGAAGAAAAGCATTTACAATTCCT